GAAATGTTATAGAAGTTGTCCTTGTTAGACCACTCGTCGCAGTGGTACCGAAGTGAAATCCACATCAACGGGGTTCCTGGTCGCTCGGGTGGAAGGGGAAGTTGAATGAATTGGCCTAGTAAAAGGTTTTGATAGTTCATCCAGCCCTGGTAGGTAATGTTGCAATGTTACCTTACTGTTCTGGTAGTTGGTCGCAAGCTTGTTCTCCACCTCTCTTTTCTCCTACGCGTGATAGGGGAGGGAGGCTTGAGGTATCAGGGGAAATTTTTCCTTTTTATCCCATTGGTATTTCCGATTCATGTACGTTAAAGCGGAATTACTACTGAAAAATGTCCTTAAGACTTAAATGATGGAACAGGCTTGTCCTTATGTGATTTCATTGAATTTTTTTATAGCTTGTCTCCTTCAAAAATATTGATCATGCTGAAAACAGCAAACCATCCGGAAGTAAGGAGAAGGAATGGGAAGAGGAACGAGAGCGCTTACTGGGACAGGTAGGTTTCTTCCCTAGAGTGTTATATTCTAACGATAACTTTTCCTTTTAGATTGTTGGAGAGGGAGGATTCATTACGAATTGTGCAGCAACAGCTTGTGGACACAAAAAAGATCAACACGGACTTATACGATAAACTGAAATTGGCGGACGAGAAATGGCGGAAATTGGAAAAAGACTTATCGAGGATCCGACAGCAGTACGCAGAGGTGGGTGTTATTACATTATAATGCAATCAGGGTTTGGGAAAGCTTACAGAAAGCGACCTCTTCGAAAAGTCCTCCTGTCGTCTGCTCTGTCACCCATCCTACCTACTTTCTTCTTTGACTTCCTACCACTTTTCCTTTTTCAATTGTCCTCTCCCCAAGGAGTTGCCTTTGCGCCGGGGGTAGGTGTACATAACTGTGGAAACGGGAAAGCCATGTGACCCGAAACCGTTTTCTTGAGAGCGATTGCGCAGTCAACTCGCGCACTGACGATTCCCACACGTCTTGACGTGCCTAAATACAGTAGTGTTCTCACAAGTTCTTTGTCGGAGCTCAACCGTTCCAGTGTGAACTGGTGTGTTTTCGAAGGATTCTGCTATTATCGATACCGATTTGAGGCCACACTCCGCGTTTCAGCGGAGGACTCCAGTCACTTTCCAACCATCATTAGGTGACTTGTGTCCGCTCCCAGCAACTGTGTGCCCATGCTGAAATGTACTGACGTTCTAGCTAATGAAAGACTGAGCGGGCGTCTACTTCGCGGCTGGAGCGGTTCAGTCTTGCATTCTTACTATGCTCTACTGTCGTTACTGCGCTCACATTGAGAGCATATTTTACAGGAAAGTGAGTTTCTGAAAAAGACCATCTCAAATCTCGAAATGTCAAACGCTGTTCTGCAGGAAAACGTACAAAAGAGGAACGAGAATGACGTGAGTCTGCCACATTTTTATTTTGGCACATTGACTTTATTACATAATATGGCTTTACATGAAATTCTAGGGCTTCTCAGCCTTTTGATAACGCATGCCCTTATCTGCGCTACATTTTCAGAAGAGTGATCCGCAGCTGAGCTTGAAAAAGAAGTACGGGTCACATGACAGAGTTGGTTTGGAAACGTTGCCAGGAAAAGCAGAATTGCTCTTGCTCATGGTACTTTACTGAGATTTTTGTTCTCGTTATCGGTAACGGAAAGTTTTGAAGGCGAAAAAAAAAGGGTGAGCTATGGTTTGCGACGGAGGGTTTTGATTACGATGGAAAAGGATATTGACAAGAAATGCCCATTTTTGAGAGAAGTAAGGTTGTTTTTGTGGAGAGATTTCTGCATTATTTCCAAAGATGCAATTTCTTACCAAAATGGAGTGTAAACGCCCTGTTCAGTAGTTCAGGTTTATCTTGCGACGATTGCATATCAAAAAGGAGGACACAGTGTTACTCGCTGCGGACACTGGGCGTTCCGGCGTTTCAGGGGAGGGGGGGGGGGGAAGGGGAGTGGGTTTTTGCGGCGTCGGCCTTTCACCATCATTTGTAGAACTAGGCAGATGATTTCAGTTATGAAGAACCGACTGGCGTTGTGCCGAACCCACCTCCATGAAAAGCTCCAGTTTCCGCAGGGAACAACATTATATATGCACAACACTATGTATGTACTAGTATTCTGACAGAGTTTTAACGCATTGCGACCTTGATTCGGCGAGACAGAGGGCTTCTAAGAAGAGCGAAGAGGTAGAATCGGCAGCCATTTTCCCGCTATGTAGCACCCTGCTAGCATTTTAGACCGAGCATCGAATCATCGTGCCATATGCCTTGAAAATCGGTTGTGAAAAATACAGGGGACGCACAGTAAATCGCTGAACTAGACAAATGCAGTTCGGGCGGGGGAGGGGCAGGCCGCGGCGCAACTATTTCATGTCCGCGACCTTTGACGGGAACGAGAAACAGGAGTATAGCACCCGTTACAGTTTTTTCTTAGAAAAAAGATTTTTTTCAAGAAAAACTGTAACTTCGAAAAAAGACTTCGAAAATTAGGGAAAAGACATGACGTGCCCCTCTCCAGGCGCACCGCTGCCTTGCATCCCCGAATTGCCTTCTAGAAATCGTTGACTCGTAGAAAACTTCAGAAAACTTAGGAGATGAGAGAACTGTCGGAGAAGTATGCGTGTGTCTCCTGAACGTGCCGAGCAATCCGAACGTGCTCTGGAGGAGCTGGGAGGTCATCTGAGCGAGTACGTTTTTGAGCATGAGAGCTCATGTTACATGATGCTTTCTTCGAAGATGGACTTGTTTTCCAGGTCCAAGCTGCGTATGCTGGATCTTGCAGAGGAATTGTTACCGCTTTCTGATGCTCACTGGGCAAATGATTCTGACGTCACGCAGTGTACGGCGTGCTCGGAAAAGTTTTCGATTTCAAAGCGTAAACATCACTGCCGGTTTGTTTTCAAACTCACGGACGATTTCGTATTTACCATAACATTGGGGGTGTTGTCTGCTTAGCATAAATTGCAGACAGTAAAATGCGATATGAGGGTGCTATAAGTAGGTCATTTCCTCCAAATGGAGTGATTTCGCTGCACTAGTTGAGATACCACTAAAGTTGAGGGGGCCACGCGGCAGCGCGATTATGCAACGTTATTCAAGTCAGGTCATGACACGTGTACAGTTTTGTTCTCTGCGGATGCGAAGGCGTTTCGGAAGGCTGGGTGTGGCGCGGCTTCAGCCTGTTCTCTGCCGACTGTGGTTAACCTAG